TCGCAAGTACGATCTGCCTGTCCAAGATGGGCAGATCGTACGAGCTTTTAATAAGCTTATGACCATCGCAAGACAAAAGTCTTGCGATGGTCGTAAGGTGTATGGGCACCTTAAGACTAGGATTACCCAAATCATACTCCACTTGAAAATGTAGGCGAGATTTACGGATAAAATGGAGAAGTACTTGGCTATCTGGTACCATTGGTCCGTACACTTTTTTCCATCTGGGTTTGATATGTGACTCCTGAACCTCTGCTGGTGCTGTGGCCATGATCCTCCTGCCTCTCACTCCCACTTCACCCAATCCCTTCCCTCTAGTTTTGTCTGTTTCGCCTCCTTCCTCTCCACCTTCTCTTGTACTTGTCATTGCTTCATTTGACTAATTGAATAGCCAGGATTGGCTCAACTATTTTGTCTTTTGATATATAGCGGTTACCTTTGTATTCTTATACCTTGCACCACATACAACTATATAAACATGTTATTTATATCTTGAAACTTCTGAATAAACATTATTGAACAATATTATAAAATTCATGTCAGTACAGCGTTGCATGACGGAATAAATGTCAGTTAAAGTACCGAAGCGCTGAATACTGAAAAATGGCCTGGATGGGAAGGGGGTTTAACACCGCGGATGTCAACTAGCAATTTAGCTGCATTTGGCAAAAACACTTCTGCCTTAGTCTTGGCTGGAAATAAGAACAATAGATGGGTTTTAATAAAGGAAATGCCCTCTCTGCTTGGAAAACACATAAAAAGACACTAAGCTTGAGAATGTATAAAATGGGTGAAAAGAACATGTAAACAATACAAAAAATGTGAACTAGTCCTTATTTGGCATTGGTTTAGCTTAATGGAATGAGACCTTAAGCACTGGCAGAACTAGAACAGTGTTTTCCTTAGGACTTTATTTCCTGGCACAACAGTTGGTTAATTGTGTTGGGCCATCTTGCAAATCCTGCTGCCCTTCATGGTCCCCAGGGTCACATTGCTCCTCTCTGAGTCAAGGTCCATTGCAGGTGAAACCAAGATGGAGAGTGGGAGGAGATCAGTGAACTTTCATGCACCAACTCCTGCAGGCTGAATGAACTTGGAAGTACATAGTTCTGGGTAGTCCTGGGTTCAGAGCTGGCAGAATCCTGGGGATAGCATCCAGGTAAGGTGCAGATTCCAGACAAAGGAAGCATCAGTGGTCTAACAGACCATCCATAAGGAGTAGCTCTCACTGCCTTCGTACTATTACAAATAGTGCGTGTCAGCCCCCTTGTGATAGTAATGAAATGAAAGTAGATGGAAATGGTTAAAGCTGGCCATAGGCGGCTTAAATTTTGGGCGATTCCTTTTAATTCCCACAAGATGAACATTTGAAAATTAAGCGATTTAAGGCTCGCTTAAGATGGGCTTTAGACTGTTTATCAATGTTGGGGCACTTGTCATAAAACCCAGCATCCGTCAATCCAGTTTTTGTGAGAGCTTCCAGTTGTCTCCCATGTGGAGGCACTGCCCCCTATTTATTAACCAAATTCCTTTGCCCCTTAATCCACCTCAGTTGTCCCTCTTTTTGGTGTTAAGTATAGACTTCTATAATAAACACTAATAGTGTTATACTACACTAAACATTTCATGTAACCTCTAAATGATTGTGCTTGTTATTTTTAAAGACATTTTAAATTCTAATAAATTTAAATTTAGATTTTAATAAAATATTTAAGGAAAGTAGTGGTGACAAAAAAATGGTTCGGTTTCCAATCCTTTTGTCGCATGGCAAAGCAGTGAGACAGATTGTGCAACAGATTTACTACAACATTACAGCTTGAGTCATGAATTCCTTCCTTAGCTGCTCTAAAGTAACTCTGCCATCGAATAATCTTTTCTTAATTGTGCATCTATTTAGAGTGGAAATCTGTAATTGTCTCAGAACCTTGAAAACTTCATGGGATCCCAGGAATACACACAACAAGATTGTAAACCTGTTGCAGAGATTTTTCTGAAGGAAGGGCAGCCGGATTTGCGACTAATTATGCCGCTGATTTGCTTGATAAATGTCGCCCATTGTGCTAGAAGGTGTCCATCTTTCTCATCTCAGAAAGTAAAGTCAGGTATACACAGATTCCTCAATCAATGCTTACCAGAGTTAATGGACGAGTCCCCCACTGTTTGCATGGTATGACAGCGGCCGCAGGTTGTCATAATACCTAAACGGAACTAACAGCTGACTGACTGCTTGCTCCGTTTGGCTAAGAATTTTTACAACCGGCTCCTTCGATCAGCTGATCATGGGATGCCGGGTGGAAGGGTACAGATAGCAGCACCCACTGTGTGAATTTCGGCCGATTCATCAGAAACCAGACGATATTCGTACTGTGTGTACCCTATGGGAGGAATTTATCAAGCTTGGAGCAGTTCCACATAGCAACCAACCAGCTTACATGTTTAATTTTTAAAGCTAATCTGAGCAAACTTAAGAGAGAATGGGGCGGGGCAAGAACATTTTTGCCCAGGGTCCAATCAATATTAAAGGTGGCCTTGCCTCTATGTCTTTTATATGTGTGTCTTAAGAAATCATGACATCTATACATTTCCTATAAATGTTTATTTGTAAAGTAGGACTGATGGATACATCAATTCTGCCCCCTTTATTAAGTTCCCAATACAGACTGCACGGTGTAAATTTCCACGGCCACAGCAGCTCTTTATTTAACCGTATACAAAGTACATTTTCCAATCATTTTCCAATCACAACAACCAAAATATCATACCAAATAAATAATGACTATTGGTTACGAGAAGAGGCCTTTTATGTCCATTAGCCAAAAAATGGCTTTGCTAAATCCACCCATGTCCCCAGCTGCACCCCCACGGGCTTGAGGACAGCTCCAGAACTAACTATTCCTGACTTCCAAAGGGGCTGAGCCCCAGTCAACAGCTGATCCCAGCAGGGGAGGCACCATACTACCAGATGTCCCCCCCGTTCTTTGTGATCGTCCCACATTTTTCAGACCCCCTAACCCGCCAAGCTGCTGTGACAAACACATAGTGTAGATAGTCTGCTTGTCGTGGATGAGGGAGGGTGGCTGGGACAACCTGCTTCCCTTGTCAAATTTCCAGAAAGGACTCCCAGCAGCTCCTGCAGTTCCTACCCATGATTCATGTTCCTGACTGTGAATAGTTAATGGCCTCTGTGTGCCCTGGAGGCGGTGATTTATGGGAGTTGGAGTGCAGAGCAGAGACTGAAACATTGACAAGAATGATCTCTGAAACTGCAGCTCCCAGGAGGCTGTGCAGGAGAGAGGAGGAGACTTAGGTCTCGTTCACACCTAGGCGTATTGCATATGCGCATCTGTCTCGCGTTTTTTTACCGCGATTCGCGGTAAAAAAGTCGCGCGACAAACGCTGGTTCCCGAGGGTTACTTGGCTGTATCCCAATGGAAGCACGCAACAAAACGGCCCAAAGTAGTACATGTACCTTTTCAGGCGTGGGACGTTTTGTAGCGCGTTAGGGACGGGCGGAAATACGCCAAGGTGGGAACGAGACCATTGAATACAATGGGATTTATATTTTTGAGCGTTTTGTAGAGCGTTTGTCGAGCGTAGAACACGCTACAAAACGTTCAGGTATGAACGAGGGCTTAGGGGTGGTGGCTGCTGTACGCGCTCAGTCTGGGACAGCCATCTGAAGAGGACAGACCTGTGCAGCCCTGTGTGGGCTAAGACTGTGTGAGACAGAGCTGTGTGGTCATCGCTGATATACAGGGACACACAGGCTCTGTGCACCGGTGTAAAGACAGACTGACTCGAGTTGCTGAACTGGAGAGGATCTGATCGAGTGCCTGAAGTGAGGTCCGGTGACGCGGTTATCGCTAGGAAGTCGAGGCCTAGTTGCACGGCCGAACCAGCCGCCGGGGTGATCCAGCCAGCCCAGCTGAGAGGGAGAGAGTGAAGCCAGACGGAGCCAACCGAGATGACTGCAAGCATCCTGGATGAGTGAAGACTTCCTATCAAGGACCCAGACGACTTTCCCTACTGCGCCTGAGCTGAAGAGGGATAGAGGACGTCCGGCATCTGCTATCAGTCTTCATCTTCTCCAACTGACCTGAGGGCGGTACATTGTTGTAGGGGGACAGAAACACCCGATCATTCAGCTGCTCCTTCGGGGGTGAGCGCTACAAAGGTAAGATCTGCTGTTTAGCTGCAAACTTTAACCCCTTCTAAGGGACACGTCCTTCCCCCAATCATGTAGTCCCTCTGCTTGTTATCTCTGTGTCTGTCTTTTCTTTTATCAAAATAATTAAACCCGCTATAAAGACCTGTTTATAATCCGTTCACTGGAAAACTGACATAAAATTGACCAAAAACAATTATAGTGAGATTCAAACTTGCACAGGACAGCTGAAGACGAGGACAGCTGAAGACAAGGATAGCTCATACGTATGTACTTGAGAGAAAAAAAGAGAGAATGGAAAAGCAGCACAAGGGAAGTACACATGGGATAGGCAAGTCTATAAAACAAAGTTATCTTGGTCTGAATACTGCCAGCCAGCAAAGAGGACTCTATGCTATAACTCTTTAGGTCAGAGGATGGAGACAATCAAAGGTCAGTTCACTAAAGTGGACAGTGCCAAAAATACCATACTTATCTCCATCCTGCGGCATTATTTACATCCTGTTAGTAAAATCTTTGGACTACACTTCGCCTGGCTTCTGATCCTTTCCTGCCTTAGAAGTCTGAGGTGGTGATAAAATAAAATTTCAACAAAGAAAAGTAGCAACTGAAGAGACAAAAAGGCTTGCATACAGATATATAACAATGCCACACTTGGGGGACATTTACCTATGTGAATGTGACGTGAATCTGATGAGCTTGATGAGCTTGATGCGCTTGAATTGTTTGAACAAAGCTTGGGAAATTACAGTAACATGTCGATGCATATATCCGACTTAAGTGATTGGGTTTACATCTATTTTAATACTGTTATATTCTTTTTTTCCTACTACAGGCTTTTGCCAACCCTGAGGATGCCATGAGACATGGAGGCCTTGAATTCTACCGTGAAGATCCTGATGTTGAGCGCTATAGAAGGTGAGCACCTATGGCACTAGATACCAATTTTCGTCTGGAAGTCTTTCTTCCTATTATTTGTGAGACAAAGGGCCTGATGCATCAACTTAAAGTTACTAAGAACTAGAACAATTTCACCACAGCCGCCTCAGACTTTTAGAGATTACTCTAATTGGTGGAGAGGAATCAGCTCCAATTCTTGAAATAAATAGAAAGTGATGTAATCATGTGATGTTATGTAATAACACCTGCAATCACCAGTTCAGGTAACCACAATAGTGTAATATCACTTCACTGGAACCATTGGGGGTAGAAAATGGAGGTCAATGGGGCACTGCATACATCAGACATACCATACATCATTACTTGGCCATCACAGAACTCCATATAACTGTGTGTTTTCTACTGAAATCCCTTTATTCTGCTCTATGATCCTCTTTTAGGTCTAATGTATAGTTCTACTGGAATACCTCTATCCTCCTCTATGACAGTCTTTTATGTCTAATGTATAGTTGTACTGAAATCCCTCTATCCTCCTCTATTGTCTGTCTTTTACGCCTAATGTATAGTTGTGCTGAAATCCCTCTATCCTCCACTATTGTCCATCTTTGACGTCTAATGTATAGTTGTACTGAAATCCCTCTATCCTCCTCTATTGTCTGTCTTTTACGTCTAATGTATAGTTCTACTGGAATACCTCTATCCTCCTCTATTGTCCGTCTTTTACGTCTAATGTATAGTTGTACTGAAATCCCTCTATCCTCCACTATCGTCCGTCTTTGACGTCTAATGTATAGTTGTACTGAAATCCCTCTATCAACCACTATTGTCCGTCTTTTACGTCTAATGTATAGTTGTACTGAAATCCCTCTATCCTCCTCTATTGTCTGTCTTTTACGTCTAATGTATAGTTGTGCTGAAATACCTCTATCCTCCACTAGTGTCCATCTTTGACGCCTAATGTATAGTTGTGCTGAAATCCCTCTATCCTCCTCTATTGTCCATCTTTGACGTCTAATGTATAGTTGTACTGAAATCCCTCTATCCTCCACTATTGTCCATCTTTGACGTCTAATGTATAGTTGTACTGAAATCCCTCTATCCTCCTCTATTGTCCATCTTTGACGTCTAATGTATAGTTGTACTGAAATCCCTCTATCCTCCACTATTGTCCATCTTTTACGTCTAATGTATAGTTGTACTGAAATCTCTGTATGCTACTCTATGGTCGTCTTTTACGTCTAATGTATAGTTGTACTGAAATCTCTCTATCCTCCTCTATTGTCACTCTTTTATGTCTAATGTATAGTTGTACTGAAATCCCTCTATCCTCCTCTATGGCCGTCTTTTACGTCTAATGTATAGTTGTACTGAAATCCCTCTATCCTCCTCTATTGTCCCTCTTTTATGTCTAATGTATAGTTGTACTGAAATCCCTCTATCCTCCTCTATGGCCGTCTTTTAGGTCTAACGTATAGATTTATATAAGGGCTCATGCACAAGGTCCTATGAAAATACGGCAACTAGTATGCAGGATTTTGCTGGCAGAAGCTGGCAGCAAGATCATGCATAAAAAGTGCTCTGTACGCTGTATGCATGTAACATATGTGCAGCGTTCAAAGCGCAAAGGTGCCCTATGGATTGTTAGAATACTAGGCGGTTAGAGCTGCCTGCATCCTACCAAGGAAGGATGCACACCTAGGCGACACCCCCACGCGAGGTCAGGAGTCGCCCAGGTGTGCACCGATCACGCTGTGGGTGGCATTATTTTCCGTGCTTCTGAACACGCTAAACCAGCCGCGTGTCATGTATCACAGAAAAAAGGTACACACCTAGGTGTGCACCGGCCCTCAGTGTTTTGCTGCATCTTCATTGTCCTGTCAGCAGGCTGAGTGTAGGGTGGTGACACCACTGTACCCCCCCTCCCTGCCGTGCTGTCTGGAAAAGATGTCTGTTTAGGCTTTTTTTTCTATAGGTTGAACTCGATGGACATGTGTCTTTTTTCAACCTGACTAACTATGTAACTATATATGTAAAAGATTTTTCTGTGTATCATAGATAAGCATGCATATAGAAAACTAACATTGCACTACAGCGCCATCTACACGTCAAAAGACATAATTACACAAGTAATACAATCATATATATGCTGTTGCATTTCCAACAGTTAACATGTTCTATGAAGTGGATTTCCAATACAACTGGTGAAATAGAATCCTTCCATGCAGTAACATAGAGGGTTCCCATCCTGCAGGTCTTGGGCTTTCATCATACACAGATTCAAGGTTCAGTTACAGGAAGCAACTGCTCTGCTGCCTGGTGGTGAAACCTGGTATGGCAGTGTAACCATAAAATGCTTTGGTTCTATGTCAGAACCGCTTTATTTCACAGGCTGGACTCCAGCCCACCAGTTAATACAGGCAACAAACGCATGAGTGTCCCACTGTGGTTTTCTAGCAAGCTGCGGGAGGTGGTGGCCTCTTGAGTTTACAGAGGGGTTACAATATGGACAGGTCCAAGTCAAATTGCAGATATTCATTGTTCTTGGAAATCCTGTTAAGTAGGCCTAGGCTAAGCAGCAACTGTGTGTGGTAAGGAAATCTAGCCATATGGCTGTATTATGTATTAAGACTTGCTTGGGGAGGTAAAATATTTGACAAAAGCTGAGAGTTCAATAGGACAACTGTAGCAGAAGATAATTTGAAATGGAGCGTGATAAAAATTGGTGGAGTTGTGATTTAATACTGCTTGGTGTCCTTCTAAATCCTCCACCATTTACAGACACAATGGCTGGCAATATTATCCAGGCCTTAAATTGAAAATAACTATCCACCCTGTTGGTTATTGTAATTTTACGACTGTACGGTGTTTGCGGCTGGCTTTATTAATGTATTTTATGTCCTGTCTGCAGCATTTCTTGTGCTAAGGCACAGGGGGGCACCGTGCATTTCAATAGAGGCCTAGTATTTCAATTGCTGTCATCATCTTCCCGTAGGCCACTACGATTTAATCCCGCAATTTCTGCATCCAGTCAAATTCTTCCTCCCCCAGAACTCACAGCCATTAGACCCTTGTAGTTTATTACACAGAGAAACTCAATATCTCTCCAAGTCTGGGAAGAATTACTTGCTGGCAGGCATTAAATGTTAATGCTGTTTGCCAACAGCCACATCATGAAGCAATCTAGCAGTGAAAGGTTGTTTTTTCCAAATGCTTTTGTGTAATCTAATATTCCACTCCCTTGGATATGCTTTCTCACAAAAGAATCTTTCTGGCGTTTCTGTAACGATTTGAGCATATTTCCTAACTCCTTTTAAGAAAAACAAAACATGACATTTAAACGTTTCCTTTTCCAGGATCCAACACCCTGAAAAATGTTGTACCTGGGCCTGCCCCTTCCTCCACATTATGCTGAGAGCAAAGCTTATACAGAACATGATGGGGAAGTCTTTATTTCACATGATCTGACCACCTCAAAAGAGGGTGCTCAGTACGTGTAGATCGGTTGTTTGATGTATTTATTTGGTGAATTTGATTGAGAAAAAGGGACCGCAATCTGTCAGTGGCCCAAGCTTCCTATATCTATATTGTGCAATGAGTGGTTTTGGTTACGGTGAGCATTGGGATCTGTACAAGACCGAAGCAGTAAGAGGTCAAATGGCATGTGCATCCATATGAAGAAGAGAAGAGGGGCAGAAGTCATATGCTGTTTCTGTGAGTGAGCTTTGTCACCAGGTCTGACCCTACCCTATATGACGCCTGAGGCTGTAGAGCGGAGGGGAGTTGATTCGTGGTTGCTGCTGACAATGCATGGGGGGGGGGATTGTGGTTTGCTTGCTGCTGACAATGCTTGGGGGGGGGTTGGGGGTGTCCTTGCTGCTGACCGTGCTTTGGGGGGAAGGTGGGGGCAGCAGGGTATGCAGTGGGAAGGGCAGCTGTGTTAGAGGTGTGCTGTCAGCGGCTCTTGGGCTTTTTTACGTTTTTAATTTTTTTAGCTTAAAATGGCCTTACAGAAGCATTTCATGCATTTTGGTGCGTTCCAGTGCATTCCAGACCAGACAGAATAGGACAAGCAGTATTTTCCTGGTCTGGTCTGGAACGGACTGCGCTGGTGGAAACAGAGGCCAGAAATAGCATAGGGATACATTGGGATGCATTTTGGGTCCAGAAACAGTCTGGTCTGGTCTGTAGGTAATCTGGATGTGGTGTGAATGGGCCTTTAGTACGTTCCCGCCCAGCTCACTGACCTCACTAGTTGCCAGAAGCTCAGCAGGACGCCAGCCATAGCGTACGGCTTAAGCACCCTGACAACTGATCATGTCAGTGAGCTGGGCAGGAAGCCGCACAGAACAGACAGAGCATCACAGGTTGCTAAGAGCTCTTAGCAACCTGTGACACTGTGGCTGGCATCCTCCCACACCTGCCCCGGCCGCCCCCCCTAATGAGATGCTGCCTAAAGTGACCACCTCAGGCTGCCTCATTACAGGGGTGACCCTGGTTGTCACCCTAGGAAAAGAAGTCTGTTACTGGCAGGATCAGCAGGTAAAAATTAAGAAAAATAGATAATGCAGCCACCACAAGGACTGGTAAACTGCGATATATATTATTGTAATGAACACTGCAGATTTAAAAATAGACTGAAAATGACTTTGGAAGATCCATTAACATGGTGAAGCTTATCTGAGATTTGGGTTTACATATACACGTACATGGGTGTACAGAACCATCTTGCTGTTATCCAGAGACATTGCTGATGGTCAGTCTGCTCTCAGATGGCCGTATATGGGTACATGGAGGGAAGGGATACAAATGCTGCTTGGAATGGAGAACATAGTTGATATGGAAGCATTTCTCCTCTGTTAGTCAGTCCCACAGTGTCAGTGAAAGCTGTTTGTTCTCAGCTGTGTTGATGGTCAGCTGGGCCAATTCTAACCACATTATTGTGTTTTTCCTGCTATAAAAGCAAAGCTCTGGCATAAACAGGAGGGCGTCATCCTCGCGCTATTCACACATAAAGTGTA